ATTTGGCCAATAAGGGCTAAGGCAAGGTTCCTGCAGACACCCCCACCCTACTTCCTCCTGGTGCTGTCTTAGGCTGCCACATTAATACACCCTTGTGGGCCCATAATGGCGCCGCTTGTAATGTCACTTAAGGTGGCGTTAGTTTTTAAGGCCTGACACCCTTGTATATCTTTTAATTCTGTTTTTCCATGTACCTTTTGAAGTACTCTTGTATCATGTTTATTGATATGTGTCTGTTGAACCAACCTTGCATCCCTGGGATAAACCCCCCTTAATCATAGTGAGTGATCTTTTTAATATGCTGATGGATTAGGTTTGCTAGTATTTTGTTGAGGATTTTTGCATCCATGTTCATCAGGGATATTGTTATATAGAGTTCTTTTCTTGTTTGTCGTCTGGTTTTGATATCAGGGTAATGCTGCTTCATAGAATGAATTTGGAAGAGTTTCCTAGCTCTTTAATTTTTTTGAAAGAGTTTGAGAAGAATTGGTATTAATTCTTCTTTAAATGGGGGAATTTAGCCACTCAGTCCTGGGCTTTTCTTTAGCAGGAGACTTTTTTATTACTGTTTAAATCTCATTCTGTGTAATTTGTCTGTTCAGGTTTTCTCTTTCTTCTTGGTTCAATCTTAGTATATTGTATGTGTTTAGGAATTTATCATTTCCTCTATTTTCAATTTGTTTTTCAATTTGTTAGCATATAGTTGTCCATACTAATCTCTGATGATCCATTGTATTTCTGTGGTATCAGCTGTAATGTCTCCTTTCTTATTTCTGATTTTATTTATTTGAGTCTTTTCTCTTTTTTTCTTGGTTAGTGTAGCTAACGGTTTGTCAATTTTGTTTATCTTTTCAAAAAAAACCCAATATTTTGTTCTGTTGATTTTTTTGTATTTGGGGGGGGGGGAAGGAGTCTCAATTTTGTTTATTTCTGCTTTAATCTTCATTATATCTTAAAAAAAAACCCAATATTTTGTTCTGTTGATTTTTTTGTATTTTGGGGGGGGGGGAAGGAGTCTCAATTTTGTTTATTTCTGCTTTAATCTTCATTATATCTTACCCTCTACTAATTTGGGATTAGGTCTGTTATTGATTTTCTAGTTCCTCAAGATGAATTGTTAAGTTGTTTATTTGAAATCTTTCTATTTTTTGATACAGGTGCTTTTTGCTATAAACTTCTCTCTTAGTACTGCTTTTGCTGTGTCCCATAGGTTTTGGTGTGTTGTTTTTCTTATTTCTTTCATTTCAAGAAATTTTAAAATTTCCTTCTCAGATTTTTCTTTAACCCGTTGGTCATTCAGGAGTATGTTCTTTAATCTCCATGTATTTGTACAATTTCAAAGATTTCTCTTGTTATTGATTTCTAGTTTTATTTCACTGCGGTCAGAGAAGATACTTGATATGATTTCAGTATTTCAAAATTTGTTGAGACTTGTTTTTTGGACTAACATATGGCCAGTCCTGGAGAATGTTTCATGTGCTGATGAGAAGAATGTGTATTCTGCAGCTACTGGATGAAATGTTTTGTAAATGTCTGTAAGGTCCATTTGGTCTATAATGCAGTTTAAATCAAATGTCTTTGCTGATTTTCTGTCCAGATAATCTGTCCAATGCTGAGAGTGGGGTGTTGAAGTCCTCTGCTATTATTGAATTAGAGTGTATATCTCCCTTTAAATCTAATAATATTTCTATATGTATCTGGATGCTCCAATGTTGGGTGCATATATATTTATAATTGTTATATCCTCTTGCTGAATTGAGCTCTTTAACATTATATAATGACCTTCTTTGTCTCTTTTTACAGTTATTGACTTGAAGTCTGTTTTATCTGATATAAGTACAGCTACTCCTGTTTGATTTTGGTTTCTGTTTTCACGGAATATGTTTTTCCATCTCTTCACTTTCAGTCTATGTGTGTCTTTATAGGTGAAATGGGTTTCTTGAAGGCAGCATATAGCTGGGCGTTGGTTTTTTTATTGCATTCAGCCTGTCTATATCTTCTAATTGGGGAATTTAGTCTGTTTACATTCAAGGTTATTATTGATAGATGAAGGCTTATTCCTGTCATTTTGTTGATAGTTTTCTGGTTGTTTTGTATATCTTTTGTTCCTTTCTTCCTCTCATTGTTTATCATTATAGTTTGTTGATTTTCTGTAGCGATAAATGTTGATTCCGTTGTCTTTCCCATTTGTATACCTGCTTTACTAGTGAATTTTATTATTTTACATGTCTTTTTGGTGGTAGTTTTTCTTCCTTTCACTTTCAGTTGTAGGACTTCCTGGAGCATTTCTTGTAAGGCCAGGCTAGTGGTGATGAATTCTCTCAGTTTTTGCTTGTGTGTGAAAAATTTTATTTCTCCTTTATTCCTCAAGGATAGCTTTGCTGGGTTCAGTATTCTTGGCTGGCAATTTTTTTCCTTTCAGCACTTTGAATATATCATCCCATTCTCTCCTGGCCTGTAAGGTTTCTGCTAAGAAATCTGCTGTTAGTCTAATGGGGATTCCTTTATATGTGACCTGATGCTTTTGTCTCCCTGTTTTCCAAATTCTCTTTGTCTTTTACTTTTGACATTTTGACTATAATGTGCCTTGGAGAAGACCTTTTTGGGTTGAATCTATATGGGGATCTTTGAGCTTCCTGGAGCTGTATGTCCAGAGTGCATAGCTTCAGCTCCTGCCCAAGGGGAAGGGGCATAGCTGCACCTGGGAGGGGGTATAACAGCTTCTCACAGCTCAGGTTGGGGATGTTGATTCAATGGCAGCTTCATCTCTGGGATGAAGGGTGTCACTCACCCCCAGAGTAAGACACCCTCCACCAGCAGCTCCAGTTCCAAGGTGGCATAGTGTGGTAGCTGCACAGACCACAGAGGGTGGGGCAGAGTGTCAGCTCCTCTAGGGGAGCACAAGTGTATGGACTCCAGATAGCTCCTTCAGCTGGGCTTAGTGCCTTTGAGGACTGCCACGGTTCCCAGTGGTGAGGCCTGTGGGTTTCCAAGGTATTAATGAGGACTACTGAAGTTTTCTTGATCAACTTTTCCCTAAAGAAAGAAGTTCCTCCTGGTTCCAAGCTGCTCCTGGCTGAGGGAGGGGTGATGGAGGCCTGGTGTTTCCTTCCATTCTCTGTGGCTATCCTGAGTTTCTGTGCTCACTAGCATTTCCGTTATTCCTCTGATGCTTCAGTGCTCTCCTTTAGTTATTTTTGTCAAAATGTATTTGTTTATTCATTGGTTTGTTTGTCTTTGTGGGAGAGATGAGAGGTAGGGTCTTCGAGTTGGCCATCTTGCTCTGCCCTAATCTGTTTTCCTTTTTATGGATACTGGGCTATTTCCAGTTTGGGGCTACTATAGATAAAGCTACCATAAATGTTCTTGTATGAGTCTTTTCATGATAATATGTTTTCATTTCTAAGATAAATACCTAGGAGTGGGATTGCTGGTTCATAGGGTAGGTGTAAGTTTATTTTATAAGAAATTGTCATACCTTGTCCCAAAGTGGTTGTATCATTATGTAGTCCCACTAACAATGTATTAGAGTTCTGGTTGTTCTACATTTTTGTCAACATTTGGTATTGTAAATCTTTTTAATTCTAGCCATTCCAATGAGTGAGTACTAGTATGTCATCATGGTTTTCACTTGCATTTCCCTGCCAATTAATGATGTTGAGCACTTTCCCATGAGTTTATTGGCCATATTGTGTGTGTGTGTGTGTGTGTGTGTGTGTGAGAATTGTCTCTTCAAATCTTTTTGACTATTTTAAAATTGCATTTGCTTCCTTCTAGAATCCAGGCTTCATGCAGTAGTCCTACGCTTGCCCAGGTCTCCCACTTTGAAGTGGGTCAGTGTCTCATCTCTGGGTCCTAGTGTTGTTATTTTTCCTTGGGGAAACCCTGACCTTGGGTTTGTTTACTGAACGCTGCATACAATTCCCAATCCATTCTTAGCTGACTGTTTTTTGTTTGTTTGTTTGTTTTTCATCCCTGGAAACTTCTATTTCTTTCTACACACCCAGTAATGCTTTGAAAAAGTATGCTCATCTACAGATTTATTCATCCCTGGAGACTTCTATTTCTTTCTACACACCCAGTAATGCTTTGAAAAAGTATGCTCATCTACAGATTTAGTTGTATTGTAATGGAAGGACCCTTCAGAGTATCTAGTCCCTATATTGCCAGGAGGAGAAGTCCAAAAGAAGATGTTTTTTAAATTGATACTTTCCAATGTATGAACTGAATATTGAACTGATTCTTCAAGTGTTTACTTAAAAGTTACCTTAGTGTTTAAGCAAGGGCTGGATAATTCTTTCTGTTAGTGGGTAAGAGATTAGACTAAATGATCAGTTCAACTCAAAGATACTACAATTTTAGGGCCTCAGGCTTATGATATTATAAAACCTAGATCGCTCTCAATATAAATGAAGATTGCTCAGTTTGGTATTTATAATTTATAAATTATTATTTATAAAATATTTTGATTATTCCCAAATATTTTATTTACTTTTATTCAGAAGCAAAATAAATAACTTTTGTTTTTGTATTTAAGGTCTTTATTTCTAAAAAGTTGTTATCATTTTACATTTGATCAATTTTAGAAAAGTGATTTTATTCATGAATTCAACTATTTATAAAAATCTCACTATATTCATGGCACTCTGTTAGACGTTATAAAGATACAAATATGTAAGACGAGGTTCCTATCCTTACAGAGCTTATAATACAAACAAAGAAATAAAACAAGCCCTTATTTTTGTTTTACATCTCGGATATTATATTCCAAATAATTATAGCTCTGTTTACAATTCTCCACAATTGTTCATTCACTTGTATGAGCATGATAGGAAAACACAGCCTAGATCCCTTTCTTTTTCTATCTTGTTCTTCCCACATATCTTTTGTGAATATTAGTTTACTATTTCTTTCCCTGACATACTTGCTGTCTTGCATATTTCCTGGCTCCCTTTGCTTTCCTTCTGCATGATGTCTTGTTTTCCTTCTTTTTCATGCAGAGAGAGGTATGTACAAATGATTGACCAGATTGCCCGGCAGATGATTGACTTCTACAAGGACTTGGTAACTCAGCGAATGATTGACCAGCGGATTTTAGAAGAATTGTATAATTTCAAGCATGTTATTGAAGAACTGACCAGGTAAACACTGTGATTATCCTAAACAGAAAATAAAAGTCAAAGTTATGTCTCTAAAACAGTAAAAAATATTCAGGGAAAGTGTAATGGTTAAATGTGAAGACTCTTTTGCCTTTTCATATTTAGCAAGAGAACAAAAAGAACTGGATATAGTTGTAGACTTGGATGTAAATAAATGGGTTACATAGGTTAACACAAATCTAAGGCTCTATATATATGTGATAAGGAAAAGATTCTTGCTCTTCCTTCTACGATACAGATGCTTATCTTATTCAGGTTTAGAGAGCAGTGTCATGATTATAGATGTTAAGTTTTAGATCCTAAAGAGAAATAACTGTTATACAGCAATCAAGATTAGTGATCATCTTACCTTGTGGCAAGATGATTAGTAATAAGAAGAAAGAGGACAAGATAGGCATATCAGAAAGTGGAGTAGAGCAGAATGGAGGGCTTGCCTGTCAGCATCTGCCTCCACTCTACTCTAGAGAATCCCTCCTACCCCCATATCTTCTTTCTGTCTTTTCTTGCCAACCCGATTTCATTGTCAAACTTGGCAAGATTCCATTCAGAATATACACTAGATTTATTGATAAGGTGGAAAAACTAAGACGGGAAGTACACATGATAACTGAGAAGATGCCTGAGTTCCCGTATAGAAACTTTTTAGAAGACATCAACTATGAGTTTTACATTTCTTTTTATTTCAGGGAACTGTGTTTGGTTCAGGCACATGATGTGAAATTAACAAAGGAAGCAGAGAAGGCCCACAAGGATTTGGCACAAGCTCTTTTAGATGCAGAAAAGAATGCCAAGTGAGTTGTTTAAAGTTTGTGTAGTTTATATAGGGGAAAGAGGAAAAGCTTATATTATGTCTTAAATAATGTATATGATACTAACTTCTTGAATTCTAAAAACACATATAGCTTATTTTATCTGAATTTAGTTGATTTCTCATTCTGGGTGGAAAGAAAATAAAACATGGTCTTTCTCTTGGAGACAGGTTGTTGGTTTCAGCATTAATCATTTTGTTGAATGAGTTTGCAGGTTATTTCTGATTTTCTAGAAGAAAGTATAGAGAGGCAGTGTGTGTGGCACAGACTCTGGAAAGTGCTTGCTGTGTAACCTTGGAGAAGTCACTTAACTTTTCAGGGCCTCAATTTGCTCATTTGTAAAATTGGGATTATAATGTTTCCTACCTCATAGGGTTATTATGAGTATTAAAGGAGTTAATATAAGCACTTAAAATGGTGCCTGGCACCTAGTCAGTGCTATGACTGTATAAGATATTATTCTTATTCTAGTTCCTTTTTATGAAGTTTTACACGTATGAAATATTTCAAACATTCAAAAAGATAAAACATAATGAACACTCATATACCCTCCATGAATTACTAAATGTTAGCTATTATGTCATACTTGCTTCACACCTTTTCTTAGGAAACAAAATTTTATAGAAACATTTGAAGGTTTTTTTTTTTAATCTCTCTCTCTATTCTCCTTCCCTCTCCAGAATTAATCACTAGTTAGCAGTTGTTATGTAACTTTTTGTATTTCACCACAACTTACGTATCAAAAAACAATATGGTTTTTTCATATATTTTCAAAATTTGCTTTACCAACCATGTACTATGTTTTGAGATCTTTCCATTATAATGCATATAGAATAAATTAATTTATCTTTACTGCTGTAAAATATTAAATCATATGACTAAATCATAATTTATACATCCATTCCTCAGTAGGAATAGATTTTTCAATTAGTAATACTAAAATAATAATACCTAACATTTATTGAGCACTTAATAATATTCCAGTCAGTATGTTAAGTACTTTACATATGTTAACTCCTCTAGGCACTGTTGTAATATACATTTTGTAAATGTCTTCACTTGTGAGGGTTTTCCATGGATGTATACCTTGGAGTGGAATTACTGGGTGGTAGAATATGCATAGTGTTGTTCTTGCTAGATGTTGCCAAAATGTTCCTAAGAGTGATTGTACCAGTGTATCAGTGCATGAGAGCTCCCACTTGCCCATATCTTTTATCAATCTGCTGGGTAGGAAAGGGCATCTGGTTTTTGTTGGCATTTTCCTAATTAGTGGTGTAGGTGAGTCTGGTTCTTTTTTAGATTTTAGTGACTTTATTATGGTCTTAATGTTTTTATTCTATCTCAGGGGTTAGCAAACTTTTTCTGTAAAGGGCCAGATAGTGAGATATGGTTTCTGATTGCTAGAGGCTCTTATATATATCTGATTACATTTTAATTTTTTATTCAGTTAATTAAAATAATATTATTACAGAAGTTATACATGTACCTTTGTAAAAAAATTAAAAATACAAACAAGCAAAAATGAAGAAAAAAATCACAATGTTACCACCCATAGACTACTACTATAAATGCCTTAGTGTATATTCTTGTGATCTTGTTTCTATGTACATGTGCTCTGATGTATATGTATTTGTTAAATCAAAATTGTATAGTAACACTGTTTTACAGCCATTTTTTTTTTAGTCAAGAATCTTTATTTCAGTAAATTTTCACTTCATGAATTACCCAGGTCATATTCAGATTTTCCCAATTGTTCATAAATGTCTTTTACAGTTGGGTTGTCCAATCTAGTTTCCACTCTAGGACCACACCTTGTATCTTGTTTTGTATCTCTTTTAATCCAGTCTATTCCTGTGTTTTTTTCACTCATTGAAGATGGACTATGTTTTTTAAATGTCAAGAAAAAACAAATGTACACAGAATCTAAATTCAAAAATGGATTCTTACTTTTATTCTGTTTTATTCTTTACTAGAATGAGAGACAGGGGATACTTTATTCATTTTTTTCCTGTTATGCTTGTATGTACTGTTGTTTCCTGTAGCTGATTTACATTTCTTGTCTTCCTACATAACTATTCTATACTTAGTCTCCTATCCTCATACCACCTATCTCTCCATTCTCTTTCTTAGCTGGTGATCTTGCTTTCTAAAAGGAAGCAGCAAACAGAAGAGAACTCAAGCTCTCATCCTCACACTTACCCACCCACCTGCCTTTGTGCCCATACATTCTATTCTCCCTTCTGTTATTATAAACTGCTCCTTTCTAAGGCCAATCTCTCCATTTGTCTACTATCATATCCCCTCTTACTTGAGATATTTTCAGCAAATATTTTTTGTTCCTTTTGCATCAATTTTCCCATCTTCAACTAATTAGTCCCATCAGTATACAAATATGCTATAACTACCTCCTTCTTAAAAACAAAACAACGAACAAAAATACCCCCAAGTCTCTTAGAAGTGCACATCCCCTTACAGGTATAGCGTCATTTCTCTGTTCACCTTACAGAAAACTAATTCAAAAAGTTGTCATACTCATTGTTTTCTTTGTTATCTCTCCTCCCATTATCTCTTGAACCCACTCCAATCAGTCTTTCATTTGCATCATTCCACTAAACTGCATTTGTCAAAGTCACCAGTGACCTTCATATTGCCAATCTAGTGGTCAATTCTGAATTCTTGTTTAACTTGATTTACCAGCAGCATTTGTCACAATTAATCAGTTGCTCTTACTTGAAACAATGTCTTTGGGTGTATTATACTCTCCTGGTTTGCCTTCTACTTTACTGGTTCTACCTTCTTACGGATAGCCCTTGCAAGTTCCTTTTCATCTTACCAATTTCTAAATACTGAAGTGCACATTCCTTGAACCTTTTCTGTATTTATGCTCTTAATATTTCTTTTTTTGTGTGTGTGACTGGTAAGGGATCGCAACCCTCGGCACAGTGTTGCCTGCACCATGCTCAGCCAGTGAGTGCACCGGCCATCCCTATATAGGATCCGAACCCGCGGCTTTGGCGCTACTAGCACCGCACTCTCCCGAGTGAGCCACGGGGCCAGCCCGTCTTAATATTTCTAATTAGATGCCTAACATGCCCAAACTGAATATCTGCTCTTACCATCCAAACCTGCTTCCCCATTGTAGAGCTAGGGCTAGGGTCTGGACCTCACAGACCCCTCGATCCTGTTCACAGGCAGGTCTACAAGCTAGGTAACTGGCAAAAAGGTCCTTGGAACCTTGGTTGAAGAAGGAATAGTCTTTATTCAGCACACACAACAGTATGAGCTAAGCAGTCCACAGAGAAACTCAACTGCTCGACTGCTACAGGCAAAGTCTAAAGAAAAACTGACACTGAGCACCTGCCAGCAGAGTAAACATGCTCTACTTTTAGACATGAGCTCTGCACCCAGCTCTGCTTCACAAACCCAAGAACACACAATAGCAATGAACTAAAAAGACACATTGGCACACATGGGCACTAACTCCACCCACACACCACTTGTTAATAAGAAATGTTGAGGAAGCCTGACTAAATTATCCTATTTTCCCCACACCCATACTATTTCATGTCTCAGCTAATGACGACTCCATTCTTTTAGTTTCTCAGAAACTAACAAAAATCTTGGAGTCATCCTTGATCCCTTTCTTTTACATCTCTCCATCAGCAAATTTCATACACTCTCCTTTCATAATATATCCAGAATCTTAACTACTATCATTTTCATCTCTTCTCTGGGCTACTTCAATAAGCTCTGGATGGCCTTTTTACTTTTGCCTTTACGCTACTTTATTCAAAACACACCAGCTTGGGGCCGGCCCGGTGGCGCACTGCTACAGTGCGCCGCTTGGGAGCGCAGCGGCGCTCCCGCCGAGGGTTCAGATCCCACATACAGACCGGTTCCCGCTCACTGGCTGAGCGAGGTGTGGGCGCTACGCCGAGGGTTGCGATCCCGTTGCCGGTCCCTGTCCGGTACGGGCGCGACACTGAGGGTTGCGATCCATTGCCGGACACAAAAAAAGACAAAAACAAAAACAAAAAACACCAGCCAACATGATCTACTTTAACTCAGAAAATGCCATCTTTCTGCTCAAAATTGTACAGTACTTGCCATCTCAGAGTAAAAAGCAATGTTTTTTTTTTTTTAAATGGCTTAACGGGCATGAAAATCAAGTACAATGTATTTTGAGCAGTAAAATTTAATTTAATTTAATTTTAAAAATAAAAAAATAAAATGGCTTACAAGGCATATCATATTAGAATTTCTCAGACTTCTTCTTTATTTTAGACATACTGGCCTTTGTGCTATTTCTTGATTACATGAGAATCCTCTTCCCCCAGAGAGCTGTGTAGTTTCCTCCCTCCCTCCTTCAGATCTTTGCTCAAATGACATTTTCTCAATAAGATCTTTCCTGATACCCCTATTTAAAATTGTAATATACCTCATACTATCAATCCCCTTCCCCTGACTTATTTTTATCCATAACCGTATCACTACTTAATATGTTATGTTTGACTATTTATTTGTTTATCGTCTTTCCTCACTAAACTTTGTAAGAGCAGGGCCGGCCCATGGCTCACTTGGGAGAGTGCGGTGCTGATAACACCAAGGCCACGGGTTCGGATCCTATATAGGGATGGCCGGTTCGCTCACTGGCTGAGTGTGGTGCTGGCAACACCAAGTCAAGGGTTAAGATCCCCTTACCGGTCATCTTTTTGAAATAAATAAATAAATAAATAAATAAATAAATAAATAAATAAATAAACTTTGTAAGGGCAAGGATTTTTTTGTTTTGTTTTGAACAGTACCTGCCACAGAGTGTACACTAAACAGATATTTGTTGAATGAATTAAAAAAACAAAGTAAAACTCCTTTTGTGCTAATGTCCATTGTAAGAACAAAACATTTTCTAAAACCAGTGAAGAAGAAATGGAAAGGGAAAAGGAAATCTTGTTTCCTTTGAAGTTGGTAGTTCTGACATGGGATGGTTCATTTATTTTTTTGTAATTAGAAATTTTTAGTAATACTTTTTTCTCAAAATAACTGATGATTTAATTGAAAATTTGGAAAACATGGAAACACAAATAGAAAATAAAAAACAGTCATAATTCTTTTAGAGTTAGCTGCTATTAGTATTTTGATATATTTCATTCACTCTTCTATGTATTTTTTTAAATAAAAATGAGATCAAACTGAATGTATAATTTTATTTTTTGGATTTTTTCATTTTATATTATAACATAAAAAAATTTTCCATGTGCCGAAGTATTAAGAACACAATCTTTAATTAGCTGCAGAGTGTTTTCATCATAGAACTACATCATATTTTATCTGACCAATCTCTTGTTGTTGGACATTGAGATTGTCTCTGAATTTTGTGCTTTTGCTGTTATAAACTAGGGTCATTAATTCCTTTTTTAAAAATTGAGGTCTAATTTTCAGACAGTAAGTTGCCCAAACCTTGAGTATAGCTCAGTGAATGTTTGTATATATATTCACCTGTGTAAATATCTTCTTAGTTATTTTGAACAAATGGAAACTTCCAAATAGGATGAGGCTTCAAGAACTGATGTGGTTGTTCCTGACTTTCACTAAAACTAGAAGAATTCTACATCACTGGTCTTTAATTCTTACAGCAAAGTTACAATCCCACAGGAGGAAGTGTTTCAAAAGATTTGTGAAATGCTACTTGTCAGTTTACAACATTTGTGTTTGTATCTAATCTCAGAAGGGCTTTTAATTCTAGAAGCTTCAGAAGGAAAAGATATGTTTTGGTAGACATGAAGAAACAATAGTTAAGAAAAAGGTACTTAATTATACTTAAGCTTTTGGGGGTTGGGAAAAGTTTTTCTTTAATCTCATACTAATTATATATACTTTTAAAATTTAGTGGATTACAATTATTGAGCTTAATGCCTCTAATGAAAAATCCTAGGTCTATAAACAAAGAAGCTTAAAAATAAAACTACTATATTATTGGTACTTGTATTCTGAATTTTCATTAGATATGGTGCTATTATACCATTGGGATATCATACTATGAAAATTCTAGTGAATAAATAAGATGAAAAATGTTTAGAGCAGAGAACTTATGTTGAACTTTTTACTTTCACTAAGACTTTTGTAAGATTTATAAATGAAATGTAAATTTTTTTCTTCTATTTTACTGTACATGAGTATTATCAGCATATCCAGCAATTATACCATAATTACATTATGATAAGTTTTAAAGGAACAGATTGCCTATCTTAGAACAAAGTTCTTATAAAAAAATGTGTCTATATAACTGTTGCTTGATTTTCCTTTTAGAATTGTAGAAGAATACCATGACTTATACACATTACAAAGAGGAAGGATGGAGAATGATATTAAACAGTTAATGGCAGAAAGAGATATCTGGAGCTCAGCAACATATGAATTGGCCCTAAAGGTTGGTTCATCTGGATTTACAACTCAAACTTTTTTTGGCTAAATTTTTATTTTATAATTTTCAATAATCTAAACAAAAATTCCAAAAAAATGAAGATGTGTATTTATTGATGAATAATATGGCTTTTGTTGGCCTTCAAAAGGGAAAGTTAAATTTTTTTCTTTTTTTTTTTTCTTTGTTGGGTGCCTAGCTATTACACAATTAAGGGCTTTTTGTTTTCCACCAGAAACTATGAAATATGAACAAGAATTCTTTTTCTGTTGTTTGGGAACATTTTAAAAATTTCAACTTAAATTTATACTAATAATAAGCTAGGAAAGGTGATTCTTGTTTTTTCACATTATGTAATCATATTAGAATCACTGGACATCACACTCTGGTCCTGTTTTCATGGTATACAAGATGACAAGTGAATTAAAATATGGTAGCCTGTGGACCATTATAGCAATGCTTTCGGGAAATAGCAAAGTTTCACATTATTCTATATTTCTAAAATGTTTACTTGTTTATTGGCTATTCTAACATCTGGGACTTATAGTGAATTATGACCCTCAACAGATTAAAAAATTGGTTCAATTGGATTGATTCAGTGGTTCACTGATGGCAGATCACAGGATTCTCCATGGAGCTATCCTGCATTAATATATCTGCATTAGAGTTCTGTATTAGACTCTGCCCTGTGTAGTAGCTTGTCAATTATTTGGATGGAAATGTGGAAGGCATCCCTGTCAACATGTGCAGATGTTGCAAAACTAGAGAGGAAGCTGGATAGAGAAAACAAGATTTGTTTTTAGGAAAATGTTTACTTATTAGAAATCTAGAGTATTAATGGGGGCATGCTAGAAGCATTGCCATTCAGGAGAGGTGAAAGGATTTCAGCTATTCCCAGAGGTCCTAATTCAGATAATAAAATGCAAATAAAATCAAGAGGTATAAGTACGGAAAAAAGCTTTAAAATTACTATTTGTTGATGATGCAATTATCTACCCAGAAAACTGGAAAAAGTCTATTTAAATAATTAGCTTCTGATAAGGCAGCTGGATATTAGATAAATATACAAAAACTAACAGATTCTCTCTATACCAATAGTAAACAATTAGAAATGCAAAGAGGGAATAAACTTAACAAGAAAGGAAGAAATACTATATGTTGAAAACTCTAAAATTTTGCTAAAGAACTTAAAAGAAAACTAAATAAAAGAAGAGCTATATTATATATTGCTGGTTGAGAATAATCAATATTGTATAGTTGTTAGGTCTCTCCAAATTAATCTGTAAGTTCAATATAATTCTGTTAAAAATGTCAATAACTATCTTATTTTTAGGAATTTGGCAAGTTGATTATAAAGTCCATCTTGAAAAATCTGAATATGAAAATAAAACAATTTAAAAGAAGATTAATAAGAAATAACTTGTCCTTCTAGATCTCAAAATGTATTATAAAATAAAAGTTACTAAGGATGTGGTAACTTGGTAAGAATAGATAAATACAGAATAAACAGATAAATAAAGAATTGATGAAAGGACCGAATAGAAAGTTGAGAAATAGACTCATGGGATATTCAAATTGGACTGGCACAAGTGATTATCTAATTGTTAAAAAATTTAGATCACTACCTCATGAAAAAGGTTACATAAGAAGTAAAACTCAGGGCCAGCCCAGTGGCACACTGGAGAGTGCGCCACTTGGGAGCGCGGCGGTGCTCCCGCCAAGGGTTCGGATCCCATGGGGAGACCGGTTCCCGCTCACTGGCTGAGTGCGGTGTGGGAGCAACACCGAGGGTTGCGATCCCGTTGCCAGTCCCCAGTATGGGCACGACACCGAGGGTTGCGATCCCGTTACTGGTCAGTAAAAAAGACAAAAAGGGAAAAAAAAAAAAAAAAAAAGAAGTAAAACTCAGAATGGATTACATATTTAAATGTAAAAACAATGAAACTATAAATATATTAGAGTAAATTATATGAGAATATTTTTAAAATATTGAAATGAGGAAGCTCTTTCTAAGCATAACATGAAACCTTGAAGTTAAAAACTTTCGTGTAGTGACAGTCACCAGAAATAAAGCAAATAATAGACTTCAAGAAAATGTTGGTACTTCATATAACAAGCAGTTAATATTATTAAAGTTATCTACTAAATAAATTTTAAAAGTAAAAATAATCCAGTAAAACAATAGGCACAGAATATGAGTAGATAATTCAGAGCAAGAAATTCAATGGTCTAATATAAAAATAACAACCTTACAAATAATCATTAAAATGGAAAATAGGGCTGGCCCGGTGGCGCACTGGAGAGTGCGCTGCTTGGGAGTGCGGCGGCGCTCCCGTTGAGCGTTCGGATCCCATGTGGAGACCGGTTCCTGCTCACTGGCTGAGCATGGTGCGGGCGCAACATCGAGGGTTGCGATCCCGTTACTGGTCAGTAAAAAAGACAAAAAGGAAAAAAAAAAGGAAAATAAAGAATAATTAGATACCATTTTTAGCTTAGCAGATTAGCAAATATTATCAGCACCACACTCTCCCGAGTGAGCCACGGGCCGGCCCAGATTAGCAAATATTATCAGCACCACACTCTCCCGAGTGAGCCACGGGCCGGCCCAGATTAGCAAATATTATCAGCACCACACTCTCCCGAGTGAGCCACGGGCCGGCCCAGATTAGCAAATATTATCAGCACCACACTCTCCCGAGTGAGCCACGGGCCGGCCCAGATTAGCAAATATTATCAGCACCACACTCTCCCGAGTGAGCCACGGGCCGGCCCAGATTAGCAAATATTAAATGATAAACAGGACACTTTCATGTACTGTTGATGGAGCTATAAATTGGTATAGCCTTTTTGGAGACTTTTATAGGGGCTTACAATATTTTAAATTTGTACCCCTTTGACCAAGCAATCCCACTGGCAAGAATCCATTCCTGAGAAAAACTGGTACAAGTGAATAAGGATATGAATGTTCAGCATCGCATATGATTACAAAAAAATACTCAGATAATCTAAATATCCATCAATAAGGAAATAAGTTATAGTTATCCAAATGATGGAATACTAAGCAGTCCTTTAAAAGAATGTTGTAGACATATATGTACTTGGAAAAATATCTGTAAGTGAAAGAAGCAGCAAGTTTTAGAATAGGATATTATAAAAGTCTATATACATTTAGTTAAAGCTATCGCAAGTATATAAAAAACTATACATGTGTAGTTTGTGTATGCAAACACAAAAAGATTTTAATATTGAACATCAAATTAATAACACTGATTATCTTTGGTGAGTTGAATTTTAAGGCGAGGGGAGTGGTGGAAATTTTAAATTTTTACTTTGTGCTTCTGTATTGTTTGACTTTGTTTTAACAATTATGTATTGTTTTTTTGTCTAAGAAAGGTAAGTTTTGAGGATCTGCTTTTTTCTTAAGCAAACTTTGTGCACCTATTATGCATCATACATTATGCTATATACCAGTTGGTGAAACAAAAATAAGACAAAGTTCCTGCCCTTAAAAACTTAAGAGATTCAAATTATCTCATCAATCTAGAATGATGGGCTTATTCAGACAAACGAAATGTTAGTAGGGATAAATGAATAGATTACTCTTATTAATATGGTTATTATTAATAATTGCCATGATTAATGTTGTTATAAAACAGCAGCAGCTATCATTTATTCAGTTATTACTGTGTGTCAGATATTTTGCTAAGGGAATAATTAGCATAGTTTTTGTAATAATGCCATGAAGTAGGACTATCATTACCCACATTTTTCAGATGAGGAAACTGGGACTCGAAGAGGTAATTTGCCCAACCTCACACAGCTAATAAATGGTTAACCTAGCAAGTCTAAACCTAAAGGGGGGGTACCCAGTGTAAGAATAGTGTAAATGAAAAAAAGATCTGTGACACTGAAATGACTGTGAATTGGCTATAAGGTGACTGCATGAGATGGTTCTTAAAATAATACTAGACTCTTACAAGATTAGGAGCAAAGATTAGAAGTAAAGAAAATAGGAGATAATTGTTCCATTTTCCTCTGGGATGGTCAGACCTCGTCTAGGGCACAATGTTCCATCCTGATGCAGAATTTTAAAAGGGACATTAACATATTCAGAGGAAACAATTATGACAGTAAATATATAAGAAACAAATCTAGCAAGGCATGTTCAGTAGGAGAAAAAAAGACAAGTCAGCTCCCTCACAGTAAAAGTATTTAAACAGTAGATAGGGGCTAGCCTGTTAGCTCAGTTCATTAGAGTATGGTGTTATAACAGTAAGGTCAAGGGTTTGGATCCCAGTACCCATCAGCCACCAATAATAATAATAATAACAACAATAATAATAATGTATAAAAAATAAACAGTAGAGAACTGACTCCTGGTAGAGGTTTCTATAAAAGAGTACCTTGCATTGATGGGACTTTGTGTGAGATTATTCTTAAAGTCCCTTTCACCCAGAAGCGACAACTCCCTGAAAATAAGGACTTTGTCTCTTTCATTCATGGCTATATTCACAGTGTCTAGAACAGTCAATTATTAAATGATTATACAATTGATATCCTTTCAGGAGTTAAGCGACAACTCCCTGAAAATAAGGACTTTGTCTCTTTCATTCATGGCTATGTTCACAGTGTCTAGAACAGTCAATTATTAAATGATTATACAATTGATATCCTTTCAGGAGTTCTATGAGGTCAAACTAATTTCATCAAAATACTAAGATGTAGGATTTGGATTCTTATACTAGCCAGCCACCAGGGGAGAAAAAAAAAAAAAAACTAATATATTAGTTTTTTTCACCCTCATTCTCTTGAGTATGCAGTAGCTTTTTCTAGAAGCTACATGACATGGGATATTGCAACAGATTGAATGCAGAAGCAAATATAAGAATCCAGCTCTATTCTTTTAAGGCAGACATTAAAGATATTTGTAAAAGTATGAAACAATGGCACTCTTTTCACTCATTTTTTTGAAAAATATTTTTTCATAAAAATGTTATTTATGTTTACATAATGGGTTTATTAATGTTAGGTGTAAGTGAATCAATAAATATATTTTTAAAAGAATGTTAGTTTAATTTTCAGTCCAGCACATACTGATAGATACAATCCACATAAATAAAAGCACTTTGGAATCCCCAATAATTTTTTAGTGTAAAGCAGTCTTAGATCAAATTGTTTGAGAACCTCTGCTATAAACTATACTTTAATTTGGCTCCAGTTCAGTAGTTTTAGAAAAAATGAATTTGCGATTCAAATTAGTTAGATTTAAACAAGAAAATTTGGTTAAGTTAATGATTCAATGAAAAATTGATATGTGAAAACACTGTAATAAATGATAGTGATTTGTTAATGTTTTGAGTTCCTGATTATAGTACATTATTTTTACAGCTAATTGAAAGAAACAGAGTCATATTGGCTAAAAGACTTTATATCAGTGAAAAAGGCTGGAGTAAATATACTAAGTATTTCATTATACTGCTATCAACTAAGGTAAAGCTCAATTCTCTTAAATTATGGGGGGAAAAAAACTCCAAGTGTTGAAGGTTGATACTATAAGAAATCTTTGCTAAATTTTTAGATTATTAAATATAGTTTTATGTTTGTGTTTTATTGTGGGAGGATTGAAAAATCTAAGGAAAGGTGAATAAAGGCTCTTCCGTATATTTTTCTTTTTATCCTAATTAAAGCAATTTAAGCAATTTATCTGTTTAATACTATAAAGTTATTCATAAAATTATGATTCTATTTATTAATGCTTGAACTGAAAAAAAGGAAGTAGCTGTGTTTATTAAAATAGTTGCATTATTGATGCATTCTATGCAATTTTATGGGAAAATTCAGTGAGCACACTAGGGAGAAAAGGAGGGAACTGGCATTCAGTGTGTTTCTACTAAATCAAACTGTGTATCCAGTCATTTCATTTAACTCTTAAAACAATACTGTGAGATATGTATTAGGTCTTTAATTTATAGATAATAAAAATCTCATATAGATTATATAACATCCCCCAATATTTGGTTCTGTCTGGCTTCCTGGTTCCTATTCTTTCTAGTGCACCACACTGCCCCTGTGAAAGTCCTATGGGAAAATTAGGCTCAGGGGCCGGCCCGGTGGCACACTGCTACAGTGCCCCGCTTGGGAAGCGTGGTGGCGCTCCCGCCGAGGGTTCGGATCCCACATACAGACCAGCCG